TAATCTACTTGAAAAAATGGGTAGGGGCCTGTTTTCCCCACTAAATTATCCAAAAAATAAAACACAAATATGTAATTACATTTTTTTTTTCAAAATAACCCTAATTGTTGGACAAAGTTTACCACATAGACTTTTAAAAATTTAATGCCAAATAGAGACACTAATGCCATTTACCCAGCACCATAGAATGGACAAATCAATTATCCTATCTGTTAGGTTTTAAACAATCCAATGACAAATACATAAGCAAATTCCACAACCTATATGAAAAGCCTAACATGTCAATAATTTTGGCAATACTAACAGCATCCAGAGGTGAAGCAACCTCATCCACCCATATGTTTTGCCAATATTGCCCATAATTAAATGTAGCACCACCATACCAATTTCTCGATGTTTTCCTTGCAACCAAACTTAAGATAGCAAGGGGCTACTTGGTGCCTTATTTGCCAGAGTTGTATAGAAATAAACATGTTATTGAAGACATATGACTTACTCATGTACCATAGTTTGTCACAAAATGAACTTCTTCCAATGCATAGTTTTAAAAATCAGACTTAGCTTGGGACTTGGTCCAGTTCCCAGCCACATCAACCCATCGAAGCCTATGTCAGCTTGACAAGTCCTATGGAATGAAAATAAAATATTTCAGAGCATATCATATCAGTTCAGCTGAACTTCAGTGGGATACGGTACGACTCAGGTAAGATGAGACTTGCGAGAAAACACTAACTCAGCTACTGCTCCTACTAAATCATGATGTGCCTAAGTGGAGTGATCACAAGTGAGTTAAGAACCTTAAGCATTGTTTACATCTACACAAGCCCACCACGGACATAAAATGTACAAACCCTGAGATTGGTTTTGAACTTCTACTCTGCACGCTTCATCTTATATAAACATCAAACTTAAAACAAACTATGTGGAACAAAGGTGTAATACATAAATACCATGCACATCAGCAATTGAAGCATGCGATCTATCACAGAAAGTAATATTCGGGCACATTTCGACATGTCCGAAATGGACTCATCTGAGACATCAGACGGATCAGGTATGTCTTCATGTCTAATACAAAATGTCTGTTATACATGGGCCAATTGATGCATCCAATATCAAAACATGTGCCAATAACTCTGAAAACATGTTTTGCAACAGTGAACAGTGGAGACACAAGTCTATGATTGAGACTTGTCATTTTTTGTTAATTTTATTATTAAAAGTCAAATTAAGTGTATAACTGTATATATTGTTTTTGGGTAGTCATCTATAATATAGATAAATATATGTAGACAGCATTGTCGAAACATGTCCATGTTCTACACACCGCTTCATGCCACTTCACGAGAGCTGTGTCAGACACAGGATGTCTGTGTCCTTGTATCATAGAAGTGACATTCTATTCTTGGAAGATTATAGTATGCAATTGGATATCGTTAGGACCTATGCCACAGAAGGAGCTTATGTAATCAATAGATTGGCTGTTTTCTATTAATTGAGAGGTTTAAAATCCCAAAGCACTTATAGGAGAATCTAGTAGTCTCGTCTAGACATGTCCAGGAAACATTTCTCACGCCTGCACCTATATATAATGTGCTAGAGTCTCAAGATACCTTGTGAGAGAAGTTTACGACTTAGCATGATGTTGACAAAATATACACAGACCACTATTGGCAAGGTCTTAAATAAG